AGTTGGCAAGCCCTTATCGCCCCAACCCTATTTTATTATTCCCTTCGTTTCTTCTTCCACCACCACTTCCCTCTTCTGCAACTACCTTTGATACCATCACCTCCAGGGGCGGATGTAGCACTCCAGTGACGGGTTTAATTGAACCAATAACTTTTGACGCGTAGTATAAATTAATGTGTAAAAATTCACCGATTCTAATTCTATATATTCTTTCTTATTTTTATGCCTTTATCTCAGCGAAAAGATCAAATGTCGAATCCATTTATTTTTCTGGTATTCAAGCAGGTTGGAATATGTATTATCATAATAATGGTAGATATAATTACAATAAATAGTAGATTGAACCTATAGTTTCAAAAATATAATGGGTTCAATGCTAAGAACCTTAAACGTTGAACCCATAAAATTTAAATCCTGGATCCGCATCGGATCACCTCCTCCGTCTAGCTAGAGGTACTTTCGTACAAATTTTATTTTCACATAAAAAAAGTAGTGGTTTCTCAATTATATTTTTATGAGAAATTTTCATAAAGCACTATCTTTTAGTGGTAATTAGCTATCTATAGATATCACTTGCTATATTATGGATTGTAGATACGTTTTCTGTTGTTATAAGATGTATTAGATGTATTTAAGCTATTGTATTCATGAATACAGTAGCAAAAATAGGCGTGAATCGGGAAGTCCAGCTAATCAGTTGTTGTATTCGAGTATATTCGACTGTATTCATGGCGTGAAACATGGGACTACAACTGGACAGATTATTGTATTCGACTATATTCAACTGTATTCACGGCGTGAAACAGGGGATTACACTGTTTTTAAACGGAAAGTGAATCAATTAACATACTAGACTCCTAATATAACTCAACTAACTCAATTATAACACACAAATTTTGTATTTCCGGTTATAAAAAAGATTCTCAACTGAAAAATACCCCCAAAACATAGCAATCTTCAAAGAAATTATATAATACATCTGAATACATAAATTATATTAATTAGAAAAAACATATGAATACATTCATGGCATATAGCGAGATAGTGAATACAATGAAATACATAGAATACAGCGGGATATATTGAAATACAATAAAAAAAAAAAAGAGAATTTAATAAAATACATGGAATACAACGAGATACATTGAATTACAATGAAAAAAAAGACAATGAATACAATGAAATACATGAAAATACAGCGTGATATGTTGAAAATACATTGAAATATATTAACAGAAATCTTCTTCTTCATCGCGATTAGTTGAATACATACCAGGGCTTCTAATTTGATTGAAAAGTTACGGATGACGCTGTTAACACAGGGAAAGGTTTCAGTGGATTCCCATTGATGACACCATTGAAGGGGTTACTGGGAATCTTTTTGATGCTTACTTGAAACCCTATTTCCTTTAAGCATATCGACCAGTGAGGAAGGGTGATCTATTTCTCATAAAAGGAGGAATGCGAAGTGTAGAGTTCAAGGTTACTTCCATCAAAAGATTCTCTAATTCCAGGAACACAACTAGGTCTTACCACCAAGGAAGAGCTAGGGTTTCTCATTGGATTGAGATTGAGAATCGTGTTTTCAGGGAATGGGGGAAGAGAATGGCATGTATCAAAGTAGAGAGAGAAAGAAAATAGTGTAACTGAATAGCGTATTTAGTGGCTTAGGGGTAGGAAGTAACCAAAATTAGATATTTTGCTATAAATATTAAAAGGTATTTATAGAATATAATTTTTTTAAATGTTATTTATTTAAAATAAATAAGGTGTTAACCTTTGCTATTTAAAATAAATAAGGTGTTAACCTTTGCTATAGAAATTTTCACAAAGCACTATCTTTTAGTAGTAATTAGCCATCTATAGATACCATTTGCTATACGGATTATAAATACCTTTTCTGTGGTTATAAGATGTATTTGATGTATTTAAGCTATTGTATTCATGAATACAATAGCAAAAATAGGCGTGAATCAGGAAAGTCCAGCTAATCAGTTGTTGTATTCGAGTGTATTTGACTGTATTCATGGAGTGAAACATGGGATTACAGCTGGACAGATTATTGTATTCGACTGTATTCGACTGTATTCACGGCGTGAAATAGGGGATTACGCTGTTTTTAAAACGGAAAGTGAATCAATTAACATAATAGACTCCTAATAGAACTCAACAAACTCAATTATAACAAACAAATTTTGTATTTTCAGTTATAAAAATAATTCTCAACCGAAAAATACCCCAAAAACATAGCAATCTTCAGAGAAATTATATAAACATCTGAATATATAAATTATATTAATTAAAAAAAATATATGAATACATTCATGGCATATAGTGAGACGGTGAATACAATGAAATACATAGAATACAGCGGGATACATTGAAATACAATAAAAAAAATACAGTGAATACAATGAAATACATGGAATACAACGAGATACATTGAATTACATTGAAAAAAAAGACAATGAATACAATGAAATGCATGAAAATATATTAACAGAAAATCAAGTTGCTCAGCCCCAAACTCCGTCGTCTTTGTTCAAGAACAAACCCTAATTTCCGGCGAATCCGCCGTTCACCGGAAGCCAATAGTGAAAACGCGCCGCCTTCGTGGAAATTTCACTCTGAGTTGTGTGGCAAGATGACTTCTTCAAATTCTGGTGAGATCATGCTTAACGAACTGCTGCTATATTTAATTGCACAAGCAAACATTAAGGAGAAATTCCATGGCTTTTTTGGTTTATCAATTCTATGTCAGTTGGTGTAAAGAATCAGTGCATCTATTATACAATTCGAAGACAGTAAATTCGTCCTTAATTTGCTTTCATAGTAAATCCCTTTGTTCTTCTGCCCGAGCATCATGGGATATACACTCGATTGCAGTTGCCCACTGCTTGGGGACTGTTCCTGTCGGAGAAACTAGTGTATTTGTTGCAATATCGTCTGTCCATCTGAGAAGATGCCGTTAGAAGGAGGAGGAGAGCGAAAATTTTAATGGGATGGGGGAAGAGAATGGGATGTATCAAAGTAGAGAGAGAAAGAAAATAGTGTAACTGAATAGCGTATTTAGTGGTTTAGGGCTAGGAGATAACCAAAATTAAATATTTTGCTATAAACCTTAAAAGGTGTCTATAGAATATAATTTTTTAAATGGTATTTATTTAAAATAAATAAGGTGTTAACCTTTGCTATAGGAGGTAAAAATTCCTAAAAATAATTGGTCCAAAAACTAGTCATCCGGCGCCATTTTTACGTCTTCATCTCACTAACACACAACAAAAGGGATTTTTACATCGTAGAGCACTTTTGTGAGACTATTTATATAAAGGAAAGCATTTTTCATTTATTTCAAATTTAGCAGATTTATTTACAAATAGAATAGATTTTGAAAATTAAACGTTCATGACTTTCCCACAAATCAAGGGATAAGTTTTGTTCCATTTTAATTTGTTAATCTACTATCACAAAAGATTGACCCCAAAATAGCATATCCAAATTATAAGAAAGCCTATAGACGCTACAATTGCAGAATTTGCACCCCGCAAATTTTTATTTGTTCGAGTATGACGCTCTCTCCGTATTGGATGGATGCCTTAGCTGTGGGATAGAAGGCTTTTCTTTCAAGTCTTACATTCAATGTACTCTACGGATAGAGGAATACATAGAGTTGAACATAGTAAAATAAGAAATTGAAAGATTTCGTTGAAATTGTTCGTTTGGAAATTTCCCTATTATACTAAAACTATACTTTTTCAGTACTCCTAATTTCTGCCATATTTTTAGCCTTCCAATTATTCTCTTCTCCGAACCTAAAAAATCTAACTTGATTTGCTTTGTGGAGTCAACACAAATGGAATCATTTCCCTTTACTTTCTATGGATCTCTTTCTAAAGTAAAAATGCATTAAAATATCAATTACTCATGAAAGCACTATCAGGTTCTCCAATTGTCACGACCAGAAATTTTTAACCCCGGGATCGTGATAGCGCCTAACAGCTCGAATCACATATGAGTCACCCATGATACTATAATTATACAGCTATTATTTCATGTATAATATTAAAACTAATATACATTAAAAAAAACCACATCTAAAAAGTATAAAACATTAAGATACCATTATTACAACAACAACAACAACAATATACCCAGTATTATCCCACACCGTGCGATATACCATTATTATACTAGTATAATAATGGTATATCGCACGGTGTGGGATAATACTGGGTATATTGTTGTTGTTGTTGTTGTAATAATGGTATCTTAATGTTTTATACTTTTTAGATGTGGTTTTTTTTAATGTATATTAGTTTTAATATTATACATGAAATAATAGCTGTATAATTATAGTATCATGGGTGACTCATATGTGATTCGAGCTGTTAGGCGCTATCACGATCCCGGGGTTAAAAATTTCTGGTCGTGACAATTGGAGAACCTGATAGTGCTTTCATGAGTAATTGATATTTTAATGCATTTTTACTTTAGAAAGAGATCCATAGAAAGTAAAGGGAAATGATTCCATTTGTGTTGACTCCACAAAGCAAATCAAGTTAGATTTTTTAGGTTCGGAGAAGAGAATAATTGGAAGGCTAAAAATATGGCAGAAATTAGGAGTACTGAAAAAGTATAGTTTTAGTATAATAGGGAAATTTCCAAACGAACAATTTCAACGAAATCTTTCAATTNTATTAATATTTAATTGCCAGAAATGATAATCAATAATTACTGCTATGATTTTGTAATTTTTTCTTAAATATTGGCTAGTTATGTTTTTTCCCCCTAACAAAAGGCCAACGATTTGGACCAACGAAAACGTTTGAAACTGGGCTGATACCTCCGGACCAGCCCATACATAGGCAGGATGGGCTCAAAACGCATCAAAGAAGCCCAAGCCCCCGTTTCAAATCCTAACGGCTAGTTTGCTAACACGCTGCCTACAGAACGCTCTAACGGTCACTTTATTTTTGCCCGTCCCCAAACCCTATTTCCACAACTATAAAGTCATCTTCCCCTTTGCCCAAATTTCATCATCTTATTGCATTTCTCGATCTTCTTAATAGTAAATCCCATTCTCCAGCAACTCAAAATTAAACTTACTGCAAATTTTCTTTGATTCATCAATGGAGACTCCATCATCAACAACAAGAAGAGTGACAAGATCACAAGCCTTGGCTACTGCTAACAGTGCTAACAAGATCCCTCTGTCAAGTGAGTTTCTAATTACCCTTTCATTTCTAAACTATTCATCTGATTTTCTCTTCTCCGAAAATTCATTTCTCTATTGCTCTTTTCTTGTTCAGAGAAAATTGAAGAATCTGATAAGAAAGCAGTTACACAATCAAGACAAAGAACTGGGAAACAATCAGCATTGATTGACATAACAAATGATTCCCCCATTGTTGGCTTAGCTATGGGAAATTTGGAGACCCCATCTTCTGAAATGTCCAAGAAAAGGACTAATGGTCAAGCCAAACACTGCACTACTCCTGGATCTGGGGAAGCTTTGTTGAGGGGCCAAGTTAAGACCCTGTTGCAAAAAGTTGAAGAAGAAGCCGTGATCTCGAAAATTTCATTGCATAATAGGCCTTTTCTTCATCTCAAAGGCATTGTCAATTCTCCTATGGGTCTTCTTGCCCCAACTCCGGCAAACACTCCTCTTATGGATCTCTCTATCAATGAGTTGCCTGTTGTTACCGCTTCCCCTGTCGAGGACAAGTTTGCCATTTCTCAGGTATATATTTCATTGCCCATGTCAATTTTTTCATGAAAGATTCTCTCTTGATTATGTATTTTAGAGATTTGATTTTTTTTAATATTTTATGTTATAGATAATGAATGAGATGTTTGAGGGGGAAAAGCAGGGGGGTCTTGAATCTGAGAAGAGTTATATAACAAGATCTCTGCTACTTGATTTTTCTGAAAAATCTGAAGGGTCAGAAGAATCATCAGTGTGTTCCTCTGTGGTGACATACCAAGGAGGTGAGGTTGAAAGTAAAGAGAATGATGACAATTCATCTTTGTGGTCGATTCAAGTGAATGCAAGTACTAAAGATGATGAAGAAGATGAGGAAGAAGGAGGACTTGAAGATGATAACTATGATGAAAATGAAGAGGATGGAGATTTAGTTGATGAACTTTGTGAAGCAATTAGCAAGATTAACGTGAATGCAAAATTTGAGGGAAAGCACACTCGTTTTGTGTACAACAGTGAAGATGAGATTGAAGGAGTTGAAGAGGAGGATTCTGCTGCATCACCAGGTGTCTTGCATTTGAAAGGATTGCCCACTCCAAAAGGGAAGCATCTTCGTTTCCCTGAGGAAAATGAATGAAGAGATTGTTAGCTTTTTGTTGCTGTTTTTGGTTCTTGACAGACACCTGCTCTGATTTGGACCATAGAAAGTATGCTGCCATATTGAATTAATTCAATATCATCTCTTTTCAATTATCTTTATTACATACATGCTTATGTTAGAGTGATTTATCCAAGTCTAGATAAATTTGTTCATGGAATGCATAGATTAAGTTTTACAAGTACTTTTTGTGACCTTCCCAAGCTTTTGATCTTTCATATTTCCTTTTCCTATATATGACACGATTCTATGATATCATTAATCGTGTTTGAATATTTTTTATTTTTTTTGGTTCAGTTTTTGCCATATTGGAGTTTTTTACCCCAAGGAAAACTAAAAGACATGGAACCCCCTCTCGAGCACACCAATTAGTTAAAGTAGATCAGAAACTTTGGACCTACCATTGTGTCGTGTCCAGATCAATCAAACAAATTATTAAACTAAAAAAAATCCCAGTCAAATAAGAGGTAACTGATCTCAAAGGAACGACTAGAAGAATCGGTAACAAAACTTGTCCCATACACATTCTGATCAACGAAAATAAAGAAGGGCAAATTTATGGGATAGCTAAGGGATATGACAAAGAATAGTGCAAAAGCACTATAGCGTACCACCATAATATTCGGCAAATGGGTTTGGACAATATTTTAGATGAAGTTGAAGTTACTACAAAGTTTATAGAAGTTAAAGACTCAGTTCAAGCAAACCTAGTAACAAACCTTTTATCAAAAGTAGATAAGAAAGCATACAGAACGAGAGATCCAAGATTCATTTCCAACCAACCTCATAACTCAACCAATTGGCTTCAAATTCAAGTCTCATACAAATCATTTGAACTCCATTATTGTTTTCCTTAATGTTCTGCGCATTTACAGCTCTCTGAGCTTTGTAAACCGACAAATCCTCTCTCGACATTCAATCGTGACCTTCCTAACGTTGGACCTTCGTAAATTATCTTAAGAATGCACTACCGAGAGCCCCTCTATTGATTAAGCACCTGGCTTGAGCATTATGTCAAATAATTCGGTTGTCTTTGCTACTTTAGCTAGAACGATCACGGTAATATAAATCAAAAGGCTGATATATTTACAAGCTGTTATTGCAATAATTAAACTTCTTTAATAGTATCAGAAGTAGCTCAGAAGGATGATACATTCGCTGCACTATGAGCTTAACTAATTCCGCTGTTGCTGACCAAGGGAATTTTCCTCTAAATAATAAGTGCCTAGCTGAAAAAGGTATCATTTATATACACGGCAATAATATTTACAGCATTATCTTTGCTTGCATCCCCTAAAGGTAAATAAGAGACTATATACAGTCTGTACTTAATGTTAGATTACTACTAGACACCTAAAACTTCGTATTAGATTTAAAAAAAAAAATATCAGAACCAAGGGTGCCATGTTGGATCCATCATGCACAAGTTCCTTGGAGTAAGGGCAGCTTCAACTAACTCCGCTACACCCCTCTGCACAGATTGTGGCGGATCCATGCCATTCTCCTCCTATACAAGTAGAAGCCAAAACACCACAATGTCACAATGTAGGCATTTTAAATAGATATTAAGTAAATATTAACTTATCTAAAGCCTGTAATTTCAGTCATACAGGTATGCGGGAACATATAATTCATGCTGAACTACACGAGATAGCAACTGCGCCAATTTTATTGAATCAGGAAAGTGGTAGTACCATTACTAGGTGAGGAATTTTGAAAATTTATATAAATAGCACCAAAAAGGGAAGGGGAAAAAAGTGAATACCTCTTCAGAGATGTACTGTGGGGCTATTCCATTGATCCGTCCAATGACATTCTCAACATTTGTAGTGACTTTTTGTTTGAAGTCCACGGGGTTCAGACTACCTGCTCCTACAACAGGGGCCAGAGGCATCCCAAGAGGTCTTCTCCAAGACCAAGATAACAGCTCATCTCGAAAAAACATAGCCAGATGATACCATAAGTGCTGGCTTTGCTGCAGATTGGAATTTAAGTGAAGCCATCAGCAATGAGGAATTAAACAAAGTAGAAAATAAGATGCATATTAGAAGTAAATCTTACTTTAGGGGAGACCACAGCCTGCGCAGCCGCACACATGGCAGAAACAACTAAACCTTCTACTCCAAAATGAGAGAAAAATGCTTGCAAATTTCTAGTCAAGCGGAAGGGCACAGGTTCATTAAATTCAATCATTCCATTTGAATCATATGCAGGATGGAAATCAGTCTGAAAGATTTTTCCAGTGTTTTTAGCAAATAATATCTTGTTTGGAGACCTTCCACCAATTTGTAGCATAAAAGACATAAAACTAGAAAGAGCCAACTGGATAGCAAACTGCTTTTTGAAAGCCCACATGTGATTGCCACTCAATAGAGTTTTGTACATATACTGTGAGAAGATGCTGTCCGTGACAAAACTTTTTGTTATCTCATTGTATGCTTGAAGACGGAGATCAACAACAGCATCTGGTGAAATCTGGCCAGATATTGCTTGGTTGAGTTGCTCCTTGAAAAATGTGATCGGTAAGTCCGCTTCTCGGTCATTTCTAGCACAATGGTTCTCATAAACCTCAAGGAAAGTGCTGTACATCAGATCATCCTCTACCATGCGAACCTATTACATGAATTCACATGGAGTTATTCCAGAGGAAAAAGCTCAATAAAATTTCAGTGAACAATGCAATTTGCATCACTACCGCAATTATGTTACAACTGAATAAAACATGGCTGCCTCAAAAAGTGGCTTCCCTATTTCTGCCAATAGAGCAAAAACTGGACAATGTAACACTATTTTATGAGGTAAAGATGGGTTTAGTAATTACCTGAGACCACACGGGTATAATAATAGGAGTGTGAATGCATATGTGCCGCCTTCGTGATTCCTTGTGCTTGTCAAACATCCGATTCATCACACGGAAAAGCTGTAAGATCCGTTCATCACTTCTAGCATTTGGTGTTAAAGATGTCTGAACAATAAAATGGCGCTGAGAACCATCTGATCCAATCAGAGTCAGACGGCGGAAGCTGCTTCCATGTCTCCGCACTATTGGAATATCAGCTCCCACCCTGTCTAACTTCACAGTATGATCGGGCGCAACTTCCTAAATGAAAGACAAAAAAATCAGGGTGAAGCACTATAATATCTGGTAAAGCAGAAACAGAAGAAAAGGGAAACCAAGAAACAAGTCCCATTGAACCACGGATACATTTTGTCATTTATATAACTAAAGCCTTATGAATACATTTTGCACCTGGAAATTCATGTCCCAGTTTTGGGCTTTTATTGCATCCTTTTGACATTACATTCTACTTGCATTTGGAAAGGAATGGACTAAGATACTTGCCTGATCGGTAAAATATTGCCCTGGAACCTCCACATCAACAACATGAAAATCTCTCAACACTCTACTTTCATCTTCCAACTTCAGCACAGCTGGAAAGCGGTCCTCCACGTTGCTTTGCAGGACATTTTTCCAATGCTTCAGTCTTTCAGTAAGTTCAGAAAGAGTTGCTGGAAATGTTGCAGTACTGTCAGGATCGAGATCACGTTCAAAATCCTGCTTGTATTCTCTTACAAATTCAACATGTTTGTTCACTGCATCTGCTGAGAAACATGCTCTACACACACCAGAAAGCTCCTTCTTCAGAGACTGAGGAACTTCAGCTGTAGTTGCAGTAGGGTACTTGTAGCAACGGTGAAGTAGAGCATTAACAACTGCCAACAGTCTCTCCTCTGGCAAAGTGACGAATCTGGATCCGATCTCAGTGAGCAAGATCTGAGATATTTTTTCAGAAGACGCGTCAGCAAATCTAATTGCACTTGAATGACAAAATAGGTTTACAATTGGTAGGGTATCCATTTTGAAAAATCAAAATATTTATTTGTACTACACAAGTTGGTGTTTTTCTTATGTAATACAAGTAGTTATTAAGCTTCCAAGAATCAAACCAATAAGTTGGTAATTTCTTTTACGCCAAAATTACAAAAGCAGACAAAAGATAAGTCATGACTCCGAGCCCCTCCAAATGCTTCATTTTTTTTAATTTTCATTCTCTCCATAATGTCCAAGGTGCACAAAGTATGAAAACCAGAATTTATTTTTCTTTCAGATGGTATCAATGAAAAGGTGCACAAGTTAAAAGATTCTGAGAAAACGTAATATCCAATCCTTTTCCTAATCGAATAGCATCCTTGTATTAATGTTTCACAACTGTATTAACTGAAAAATGGACCGGTTATATCATCTAACTAGACTTTTATTTGTGAAAAAATAAGCAAGACCAGTCACCTCAAGTTCACTGGCGAGATTAGAATGTTTGCTGCGTAAAGTTTCCATTATATCTTTGGCTGCATCAAAAGCACTGGCAGCAGATGCAACCAGAGTCAGAGCACTATTACGGCGCAATGCAGCTTGACCACCATCACCGCCTGATGAGCTCTGGTGTAAGGACTGGTCATTACCAGAGGGCATACTATTGTCTGGCCTTTCGGGTTCCTGAATTTGAGAACTACTGCCATCATGTGACCCAACACCTCCACCGGACTGAGCTCCCTGGGGAATATGATTGTCAACAGCTGATGAACCCCCACTCTGACCAGCCATTCTAGCATTCCCATCAACAAGGCCCATAGATCCAGCTGCACTGCCACCAGCGACATTTTGCTGCATTCTCTGCTGTGCCATTGCCATTCTACCATATTCAGACTTATTTGCAACATCACGGCGCTCAAGCAAATATGTTCGCAACCAGTAATACAAAGCCTACAATTACATGTGAGATGGCATCAGCTCTGAAGGTCACTGAGAATATCAAACACACAAAACACCAACAATCACAACATTACCTGTGGATAGACGGTAGCAACTTTTAATAGCACAAGCTTGCAATGTGGAGCTTCCGTCCTCTGCAAGGAAAGTAATAACTGTGGAATCCAAGAAAGCCAAACCCAGTGGGGTATCTGTTCCAGGTACTTATCAAATGCCCTCCCTACGGGTTCATTTGGAGTATCGAAACTGAGAAGATATAGAACACGTGCAAGGTGGCTTCTGGAATTAGGAATACCAAATTTGATGCCTTGTAAAAAGCAGCTAACTGCATACTCTAACCAAATCTCTTCGTGTGTTTCCTTATAAGCCTGCCACAGGTCAAAATATAGCATCTTAAGGAATTCTTTTTTTTTTAAAAAAAAAAACAAAAAAAGATCCCGCAATAAGCAAATACATACCATGTCACAATAGTTTCCCCAACTAATCC